ATACATACATACATACATACATACATACATACATACATACATACATATACATATATATATATAATAAATGATTGGAGAAAAAGGGACAGTTAGCACTTTTTGGCTATCAGGGACCGAGGGTATTTGTATACCTCCCGAAGTGAAGCATCTCAAGATGCTTGCTTGAAGCTAACTGAAGCAATTCACCTGGAGAATCAGCAAACCAAAACTTGCATGTGGTATCAAACCCATTGGAAGGCTCCATTGAAAGAGTTGAATTTGTTGAATTGGAGATCATGACGTCAATCAAGGCAAGGATGTGGCAGGAAAGGGACCATGGACAGGATACTGCGATCCAATCACCTGACCTTCCAGGACCTACCAGCTTATATAGATGGATCTTCAACAGCCCATATTTTTGTTAGGAGAGTGTGCACCGGTGCTTCGGAGTCAGAACTTTTGGGGGATCTTCGCAGCTTCGCAGCGACTCGCCGTTGAGGGCCTTAGACTTCCCCCTTTGTGAAGGCCTTCCTTTGCAGGACTGCAAGTGGTGGGTCCGTCCAGTGATGCGTGTGATGAGTTAGGCATGATTTTTCATGGACGATCCCAAACAGTTTAGACTTTCCAGTTGGAACACGGAATGGATACGAAACGGTGAACGGTCCCAGAGTCCCAGTTTTGGATTCATTTCTGAATGCAGTTCGACGACCGGCAGGGCCCCACGGGTGGTCAAGATGAATGGCAGTGCGACAACCTGGGTGGTGAGCTTGGCACCACAGTGCCACGGCAGTCAGATGGAGTGGTCCGGCTGTCCGGCCGTTCGGCCGCGGTGCCGGCGGTGACCAGCAAGGGGCACCTTTGCGTTCTTTGTTTGAGTTCTATATATATATATATACAAGTCCAAGATCGAAGGATGGTAGTGAAGGCCAAGAGTGGACTGCACCATTTGGTCACTGGGATGCCCTCTTTGCACAGGCCATGCAAGCAGAAGGGTGACTCTTGAGCAAGACCCACACCACGTGTTTTGCATGATTCTCACATGGTACCACATGTCCAGTGTCTTCAGAAATGGGGTTTTGAACATATAGACGACGAGATTCACCGTTTGATTAGTGAGGATTAGAATCTGCATGAATGGGTGTGGGTCGAAGCGTCAACACCAAGCACGCCAAGTGAACATCCTGGTGAGAACATCTCAAGAAATCATGGCCGCATCTTGCAAACGAAGGGTCAGGGTGAGGATCAAAGGCGGATGGCGGAAAGCACGTGCGCAACCCAGATGAAGTCATGTCTTTGTGGGGGCATAGCTGTCACCTGCATTGCTGAGGATGAGTTCAAATGCACGCATCGATATGATGCAGGGGTGGATGGCAAGGTCTATTTGCAATGCGGCTTGGCTGCAGGGTAACCCCAAATCCAACTCACTCCCCCAAAAGCAACAGAAACGTTTGTATAGCTGGCACAGCCAGGTGCACAGAAGCCTTCCAGCAAACAGTTGTATACAAGAAGGGCAGACCACACACTGTTGGACCCCAACCTTTTCAGATATGTGACTGACGTCCGCTGGTTGGGGGTCCCTGATTTTCGATCCCCAAGGGATCCCTTCTGACCGTTCTCAGTGTTCACTAGTGGTTCTGCACCAGCTGTCTGACAGGCCAAGTGCACCCCAAGACAGAGAAGCTCTTCAACTGCTTGGCTTCGAAGCGTTGCATTCCAAACGGCGATGTGAAGTTTGACACTTGCCAGAGCAAGATGAGCCGCAAGTTGTAAGGGAGTTCTCACTTCTCTTCCTTCTCTAGAGCCAGGACCCGGCCCATGTGTTATATACAAGCTTTGTTATTTTGCTTTTCCTTTTTGTCTTGATGAAATCAATAGGTACCTGGGAGCCTGGCATTAAGACCTAGATCAGGAATGCGGATATCCGCCGATTCAGTTGTCACTTCCTTCCCGACATTTGCTAATTGTTTCTAATAGCTTCTTGTTACTATTAGTAAGGCCAGGAGCCCCTAGTAGCTTCTTGCTCCTAGTAGTAAGGCACTTGTTTCTAATAGCTTCTTGTTACTACTAGTAAGGCACTTGTTACTAGTAGCGATGCACTTGTTCCTAGTGGCGGAGACTAGAGCAACCGGTTTCATCCTTTTGCTGGGGAGCCGAGGCTGGAAACCGTTGCCACTGCGACCCTTCTACGGGTGTGGCAGCTGCAGGGGAGACCTGCAAGGTGAACCATGCCTACGAGTGTGAGTCGTGTCTCATGGCAGGAATGGTGCTGTCCATGGTGGATTTTACTTGAGTCAGCAGCAACACAGAAAACAGCTGCAATCGTGATAGTTGGTCAAGTGTTGGCCTGGCCAGAATTGCATGCATTGGTCCCTGCTTGCTGTGGACGTGAGGTTGGGGATTTGCTAGCTGCGTGAAAAATGCTTGCATTAAGATTGCAGTATGTGCTTGTGATCTATATATATATATACATACACACATAATGGAATATAGTACAATGTAATGTAGTACAGTATAATATAAACTAATACAGTATAATACTTCAAAGAGAAACACTGGCACGGTGGCCTCCTGATGTGATGGACGGCTCCACATGCTGGTTCACTTGCTCTATCCTCACCTTTGCACCCATCGGCTTGAAATAGACGTCAATCCACTTGAACCATCCCAAATCATGTGTGGTACCTTGCTCAAACTGGGTCTGGGTTTGCCACGATATCAATCCCAACACAGCCATTTTACAATTTTACAAGAAGGTTTACCTTCCAGTCAAGAGTTTCAGCGCCTCTACCAAGGCTTGGCAGCCTTCTATTTGGCACCTGACAAGTGTCTTTGCTCAGGTGGAGATGGGGACCTGCCAGGAACGCGAATATGATGCACGTTTCATCACATGCCTTCTGAACCTGGATGTGGCCCAATGCCGCCAGGATAATTCCAACAGATCACAAATTCCAGGGTTTTGATTCCCTCCCTGATCCCTCTAAACTGACTGTGGAATACCACAATTGGTCCATGACTTCACCCGGGTCACCGTCGTCGTGTTCGTGTTCGGATGCCGCTTCATCACTACATTCCGCGTGTTCGTGTTCGTCCATCAAAGGAGAAAAGTTAGGAGAAAAGTAATCCTGCACAGTGCTGCTTTCTCGCCTTTTCCCTCCAAAAAGGAGACGCATTTTTTGCATCATGCCTTCCCTTTTGTCCTTCTTTTCATCCTTTCTCCCACCAACCCCCCGCCCTCAAGCGTTTTAAGGGGTGACACTTGTGTCCATTGTCATCGGTGACACTTCCTTCAGAAGACTCTTTTTTGCTCAAAGGCACTGCAAAAAGAAGCTGTGCACCTGTGCCTTTGGCACCCCAGCGGCGGGGGCTGACTGCCCAATCCAGGCGCGATATCTTTTTAGAAGCGCTATGGGGCAACGTGGTAGAGTACTGTAGGTCCAGCTTGGAATTGGAAAGATTTACTTGCGTGTAAGAGCATTGGAAGATTTTGCCACCCAGTTCCTTTTTCCAATTTGTGCGATCGAGTGAGTGAGTGAATGAGTGAATGAGTGAATGAGTGAGTGAATGAGTGAGTGAGTGAGTGAGTGAGTGAATGGAGGATTGCATGATTGTATGATGGAATGGACAAAGGCCAACTTAGGTGGCTGAAAGACTAGGCATCACTGTGGCTCAAAGCCTCAAGCAATGAAGCAACCACCTGAGGTATACTGCCATTTTGTCTCAATAAGCAAAACATGGATGGTCTAGCGGAACATCTGGTATCAGATATTTGCGAGGCAACTGCGCATTGTGCCAGCTGCGATTCTGATGGAGGCTACACCATGGATCTCGATGGGAAGACCTGCATCGAGAAGCAATGAGCCTTGCCATGCGCTTCAGAAGGAAGGATTTGGCCTGAGCCTTGCTTGGGTAGGGGATCGACTTGACAAACTTGGGGCACCTTTATGGTTGTTAT